AAAGAACGAAAGAAAGAAAGGAAGAAAGAAAGAGAAAAAGAGAGGAAGAAAGGAAAGAAGGAAGGAATGAATAAACGAAATAAAAGAAACTGAGGCAGTGCTACCATCTTCATAAGAAGAACGCCCAATTTCCAAGTTCATCAGATTGATAACACTTTTTTACGATTTTTAAAAAATAGCTAAAAAAAAACTCTTAAAATTCAACAGAAAACCTCTCACCGCACAAGAGACTTTCAAAACACAAAACAGCTTAAAAGGTGTAATTGCACACTTGAGAAATTAAATCATGCTTGACCTTTCTCTGTTTGCTAAACTCGAAAATTTGAACAAAAATGTGTGGTATTTTAGACTATAAGAACGCGGTTTAAGATCTAAGTCAGAATTAAGAAAAAGAAAACAAAGATTATAAAGTTTTGATGTAATATCTAAGATAGGTATTTGTTGGGCCTAAAAATGTATTTTCGAAAAAAATAATGGAATAAAATTTGCATACGACACCTTTTGGCGCGCTTTTTGCAGGCATGCGCACGTGCCTTGCGAAAGTTGTCATGGTTGACGGCTCCACTGTTTTCAAACTAAAAATGTTCAATTTTTTTTGCATAGTTTTTTTCTTGTATGTGAACTGAATCGTAGAATCCAAGACTTCATTTACGAGCTCAAATATATAATGTTTTCATGAAAACTAAGGCCATAGAGTGAACTATTCCGAGAGAACTAAAGTTTTACATACTTTTCACCTACTTCGAGTTACTACAAAAAGTCGCCTTTTTTTCAGCAGAAAGAAAACCAAGTATTTTAGACATTTATTTAGATTCATAAAATATCTTCTGTGGATAAAAAAAAGCCTTTACCTTTTAGCAAATGTAGTAGAATTCCTGATTTCGATTTCTTCATCAGCCGCCATTTTGATTCACAGTGTCTTGACCGAAATGAGTGAGACTGGGTTCTACTGTTGACGCGCGTGGGAGACTGGTGAAAACGTTTGGGAAAAAATACTTTTGTGAAAAACACTCTCGAGATGTTTTCACGAAAATGAAGAAATAATCTCTAATCGTGCAATTAAATCTTAAGTGTTTTGGCAGCTCAGAGAGCGCCTTGATATATACCAGCACCCTATTTACAATCAGGTTTCTTAAAATAGCCTTTGTTAAGCTGAGTGAGTGAGTGTCAAGTTGGGTCACGTGTGAGCGTTTATCTCCCACTTCATGTGCACACGTACAGATCAAACGGATCACCAAGTGTTTCATTTTTTTTCTCGTCAGAGAACGGCATGTGCGCCAAGCGTCTTTGCCATCAAGATGCAGTTTGCAAGCCAGTCCAGAAATCATTCAAGTGTATTTGCAGACCTGGTTACGTCGGTAATGGTCAAACATCTTGTCAAGGTGGGTCCACTATGTCTCACTTGGATTACCTGTGGTTTATGAAAACACAGGTATCCCAATTCTGCTACGTCAGGAAAACACTGGTGTTGTGCGCGACAAACGCGCTACTTCTCACTCTGCTGTGAACATGACCTCAATTTCCTCAGACTCGCGATCATATCTCATTAGGATTGCTTCTCCGTAAAAAAACCACCCTCTCACTCTCTGAACTGCAAAATTTAAATCGAGGGCCACAGGGTTGTTGGCAGCTAACGTTCTTTTCAAATTTATTGCTGGCAGATTTTGATGAATGCACAGCCAATAATGGTGGATGTCAACAGATCTGTCATAACTTACAAGGAAGTTACTATTGTAGCTGTAAAGATGGATATACACTGCTGCCCAACGGAAGGAGCTGTACCGGTATGGTTATCATGACAACTGGTATCCATAACAACCAGTTATCATCATGTATCATCATCATCTCCACCATGTATCATCATCGCTATCAACATGCATCATCATGTATCCTTTATCATCATGTATCATGATCATCAGGTATCATCATCATCATGCATCATCATCATGTATCATCATCATCATGTATCTTCATCATGTATATAACATCATCATTTATCATCATCATGTATCATTATATTAATGTATCATCATCATGTATCATCATCATGTATCATCATCATATATTATCATCATGCATCATCATCATATATCATCATGTATCATTATATTCATGTATCATGTATATTGACTGACAGGTAAGAGAAAGGACAGCGGTCTCATCAGTAAACGCGTCAAAGTAAGATTCAACGTCGGAGAGTGTAACATCCGTTCCCAAGAGAAAGAACTCTTCATAAAGGAGCTCAAGCGGAAGCTTCTCCGTCAGGAAATATGTGTCTACCCTTGCAAGATTCATGGCTCTGTCCTTAAATGTCGCTCACGTTTGAAGAAGGGTGGAACCAGCATGGTTCATGCCAACTTCGAGCTCAAACTCGACCAGACCAGGATATCCACGTCTAAATATTGTAACTACAGCTGCTTGCGGTGTCAAGTCGAGAAGAGATTACAGAAGTTTATTGCAGACCTGAGAAGCCTGGCCAACCATAAGAATTTTAGTGTATCTCTTCGAGGACAAGTGTACACGATGAACGGGAAGTCTCTTCGAGTGCCAAGAGTGAGGAACGCTTGTACACAGGGCATGCGCAGAAAGATCAAGCGACTTGGTTAGTATGATGACGTATTTCCGATTATGCTTTATGAACGTTAGATTATTTTCATATTTATACCTATACTCGCAAGAGATTAGTATCAACTCACGAATTCTACATTTGTACGTTACGTCATCGCCGCGATATAGGTGGTGTTCATCAAAATATTTCTCATTAGCTCCATTCGTTATACCACCAACATGGCCGCCGTGTCTTTGCCTCTTGACTTTCTCGTGTAAATGGTTGCAACCCATATAAAGATACGACTATTATATGACGTAAATGTGATCAACAAACGACCTCTTCGGCGCGTGCGTAATGTTTGCCCATTTTTAGACCATGGCTCATTCTCTTGAGAATAAGATTCTTTGTTTGAGTTGTATCCATATTCATGTGTCTTCTCATGTGCAACCTTTAAACAAAGAAATGATACTCTAGGGAATGACACGTGGTCTTGAGAATAAGATTCTTTGTTTGAGTTGTATCCATATTCATGTGTCTTCTCATGTGCAACCGTTAAACAAAGAAATGATACTCTATAGGATGACACGTGGTATGAAATGGGAAAATATTACACCCAAGGTAAAGAGGTCTCCTTTAAGAAAATGGTTAAGAAACTCGACACAACGGATCTGATATTCTGTTTCTCTTGTGTTGCAGCCGGCTGTATGCCTGGAATGTATTATGATATCTTCCTACTAAGATGTGTTAACTGTTCTCGAGGGACTTACCAACCAAATGCCTCCGAGACCTTCTGCTACCGTTGTCCTGGCAACATGACAACACTGTACTCTGGTTCAAAAGCAGCCCACCAATGCCGAGGTTAGTTGATCTTTGATAAATACATAGATACGTGCATCTGAATTAATATTAAAGCCCTAGAGTGATTTTCCTTCGCCAGTGAATAAATAGTCAACGTAACATAATGGTAGTAGATACTAATTCCATTGATTTCTTTAGTCACTGATTATGCGACTTTGTTTCACGGTCAAGTAACATCACTCTAAAAGAACACTGATTGACTTGTCTAGATAGAGCTTCACGCATGCGTGTTACAGATGGGGTCGAGAAAGGAAAACTTGGACAAGTAACGATTACGTTTACTTGCTTTTCTCTTGATTCTAGGCGCGCATTGACCTGCAAACAGGCGTTTCCTCCCTCTGGGGGAAATTTTGTCATGTTTTTCATATTGTCAATAATTGACGTTAGATTTCTTCAGATTAAAATACTCTACTAGTGAGTGGTAGTTGATTTGCATTCACTGTACAGCCACTTTGATTAATGAGTTGCATGATCGAAGAAAATTTTCTCTTGGTTGCACCATACTGATCATTTGACATCAATTTTCTTCTTAAATATAAATTATTTTTAAGGGTTAAATTTTTGAAACAGCTCCCACACGGAGCAAGGTGGCTACAAGACGTAAATAAAGAAATGCTCTACGTGCGCATCGGGTCTGCTGGTCATAGCAAGGGGTTAATCATCTACGGTCTAGGGGCCGACTAACCTCTCCCTTAGGCTTCGGCCGAGCTTCCTGATCAGTCTGTAAATCCAGGGATAGCGGTGTCGGGGCCGAAATCTCCGGCATAGCCGTAAATGCTTCGCGCTGCCATACTGCGCTTCAGCACTGCGTCTGGAGGTATGGTCCTAAATTTAATCAGGAAAACATAATAATGAAAAAAATTCCATTTGGAATAAAAATATCAACGACTCCGCTATTTATTTTCTTTCGTTTCACAGAGACAGTATGCGGCGGTAATCTGACAGCGATGTCGGGAGTGATCATGTCTCCAAACTTCCCCGACGCTTACCCTAGTGATCTAGACTGTACCTGGACTATCTTCCCGAGCGAGAACCGTCACATACTCCTACTAATACCAAACATCTCTCTCCATGATACCCCCAACTGCTCAGATTATCTGATCATGAGGGAAGGCGCAAGCCCGTACTCAGTAGCTACATATTATGCCTGTGAGTCGTTTGATCAACCCGTGGCCTTCGTCTCGCGATCAAAGAATCTTCACGTTAAGTTTCGTTCAAGGAGAATCGAAAACATGGCGACAGGGATGGCTGAAGGATTCAAGATCTTCTACGTGACGTTTGAAAGTAGGTAGATTAGCAGAAGCGGATACAGGATTTGTTCAGGGAGGGGTGCTGCGCACGAAGTTAACCCAGGGAGGGATGCACCCCTTAGAATCAAAGGGAAAAAATAGTATTGGTTATCTCCGAAGTAGGGGCACAAAGTGGAACCAGGGAGGGGTGCGCATCCCTCCCCTGGATCCGCCCCTCATTAGTCTCCTGACCCTGCGTCCTTTAAGTACATACAGCTATTATACTGTGTCTTTTACTTATTTGGTTTTTGTTGATTTTTAGAACAATATCGTTATCTCGTGAGAAACATCGTTGAGAGCGGTGAAATGTACGCCAATGAAAGCAACCGAAGATTATTACAGGTAACCACTGCTAAATGTCACGCAACGGTCAATTACCACTCTATACGTTATTTAGATTGTGGTGGTTAAAAATAAATGGCATCAAAAGAAAATAAACTAGTTCGTTTTCTCTTGATGGTATTTAACAGTGGCATTCCCACAGAGTGGCTCTTCTTCCACTGGATTCCGATTGAGATTTAGAAGTTGATTTTTGCGGAGGTAGGAAAAACCGCAAAACCCGGAGGAACACCCTCGAAGCACAGGAGATAACTACCAAGCAATCTTACCCTCGTACAACGCCGCGCGAGTGTGGGAATCAAACCCGGGTCGTCTTGAAGAGAGGCGGAGCGCTCTCACCACTACGCCACCCATCTTTCCTTTCTGGTGGTAAAAACTGAGTTGCCGCGCAATTGCATGCGCAATGTGCAACGTTCTATGCGTGATTCACGCAACGTCGGTGACGCGCCCTGTTATTCATTGTTCGCATGCTTCACAAGTCTAACATTGTTACTGCGGATGCGCGACAAAAAGTCAGTGAAATATCCTATCATCTTATGCTCCACATAATAAGAACTTCATTGTCATTTCGACAGTCACGCATTCACAACATTCTTTCTTTTCTTGTTTGACAGGATGAAAAACTCGTTCATGAAGTCCTTGACGTCATTGTTGAGCCACAGCGACTTCAACAGGTGTTACCGAACTATGAAAGAGATAACAAAATACCGAGGTCTTTCCGAGACTTTATCGAACGCAAAGTCGTCGATTTCCTCGATTACAGGCCGTACCGCAAAAGACGTTCTCTAGAGGACACTGAAGAATAAGATTACAAATTGCAAGGCTGTTCTAGTGTTCCACAAGAATAGAAATAAACTGAAAGCGAATGAATATAGTAGAAACCAGAAGAGCTGAAGTGTCCTGGTTTGGTATGGTTAATACTGAGTGGAAGCGCGTTATGCATGACTACATGTAGTGCGTAAGACAATCACTAAGATATAGATATGTAGCTGTCAGCCTTTAGGTTTACTATGAAACAAGAATCTCTAACGATAGCAAGAGAAAAAGAAATAAAGGCATGAGGTACATAAGTTAGTGGCAAATCAGGGAAGGTTTGGTTACATTGGGGGGTGGGGTGGGGGAGAGCTAGGGATTCAAATTGCAGGGCCATCAGTAAAGACTGAATTAAAAATTTTGTGAAGGGGTCAAGCCTTCTTATTTTAACGAAAGCTGTTTCCTTGTTGGCCTTGTTGGTTTCGTGAACTTGTCACTGAATGAAATAGAGATGGATACAGTCCCTTTTTAAAAGGTTACTGCGAATACCTGTGCCCTCCCCCCAATAAAACAGTACCTACGCTAAGAAAATAGTTTATGTTAGAGGAACACGTGTAGAAACAGGTAAAGAGAAAATAGAAATAACTTACCAGTCCTTTTATCACACGTGGAAAGAGTCTTAAAAGTGAATTTTCAGGACAGTATGAATTGTAGATATTCTGTGTGCTTTGTAATAATAGAAAGGAAAAGATCTACGAAGAAGGAAGAAGGAAAGAAAGAAAGAGAGAGAGAGAGAGAGAGAGAAAGACAGAAAGTAAAAAAAATGAAATTAAGAAGAGAAGGAAAGAAACAAGGAAGGAAAAAAAGCGAGAAAGAAAAAAAGAAAAAATTTTGATCATAAAATAAAATAAAATAAATAGGATTTAACAGTGGCATTTCCACAAAGTGGCTCTTCTTCCACTGTAATTCCAATTGGAATTTGGAAGTTTATTTTTACGGAGGGAGGAAAACCAGAGAACCCCGGGAAACCCTCGAAGAACAGGAGAGAACCAACAAACAACTCTACTCACATACAACACTGAGCCTGGCGGGAATCAAACCCAGGTCACATTAGTGAGAGGCTCTCACCGCTACGCCACCCGTGCTTCCCATGATCATGAATGTTAATAGAATCTCTGTTTTTACTTTATTGTTATTGTATGATTTAATTTATTAGTATTGCAATGTTTAATGATATACAGTATTTGTTCAATAAAAGAGAAGATGCTTTGTACAATAAATTATTGATACCCTAGAATGCTTTACGCTTATCTTTTGGAAGAAATTACAAGGAAATGTTTGGAGTATAAATTTCCTCTGTTTAACAGTAAGTTGTGCATAAGTTAAACAAACAACATCTTATTCTTAAGGGAATGACGTGTTTTGAAATGGGAAAACATTACACCCAAGTCAAAGATGTCTGTTGTTAGACGTTCAGGAATAGTAACAAATAAATTCAATGAATTCCTATTTTTAAGCAATAAGCAAAACATTATTTGAATGAAAACTTGAAAGTTGCCATTGTCATATAATATGGATGCATGAAAATGAGATGCAAATGAGACAACGAGCATTATATCGGCCCGATAGCCTCACTTGTATAATTCTTAAGACAAAAGAATTTCTCAATGCGGCCTCAACTGTAATATAACAGTTGTTATGATAAAAAAACAAATTTACTAGAGTGCTTGCAGTTCCTTTAAATATTAGTATTCCCAAGACCTTCAAGATTGTTTTTCACTAACACCTCCAACTCAAACAAATGCTCATCTTTACAGTCTTCATGCTGTTTTCTTACTTCGTGCATGAAGGCAGAAAGTTTAAGTAAATATTCAGAATTCTTTCCACTGGGTCCCTCGGAATAAGCTATTTGTTTGGCAATATCAGGTAAAGGTGCGGGACCAAGATAGAAGTTATTACTGGGCGTAGCAATGTATAGCATCACCTTAATTGTAGGTGCACTGTGGTCAATAGTGTGGAGGGTTGTGTATGTCGACTTGTAGCCATCTTTCTCTCGTATGTCAAGATACATCAAGACGTTTTCTATCTCCGCAGGTTCTACTTCATATGCTACTCCCCAGACCACACCCTGGTAATGTAACATAAAAATATGAATGAAATAATAACTATCATTAATAATAAACTGATTTGATTGTGACTTCAATCCAGGGGATAGCTAGGGTGGTGGTCAATTTGACATCTAAACAAATCTTCAAATTTTTTGATGCCCTGAAACAACCTCTGGGCTGATCAAAGTCAGGGCATGGCTAACTCACAGATAGAACCCTGAAACAACCTCTGGGCTGATCTAAGTCAGGG